CCACTACTACATGCTTGTAATAGAGGAGGCTGACTTGAGTGTTGTGGAATGGGTGGTTTCATCAGCAAAAACAAGATTAAAACTTTTCTCAGATTATCTGTTGCTGTATGCATTTCATTTCATTGTTTCAGACTAGTGTTTACATTGCTGATTGCTCTGGTTGGAATGCTAACCAATCTGTTTGCTGTCCTGATAAAGATATAACTGTTTTTTAAATATTGTATTCGTTATATGGAATTGTCAGCATTAAACTAGTGTTTTGGGCTGTGTCTGTTGAATTCATTAGTGGTATGATTTAGAATACCGTATTTTCCGGCGTATAAGACGACTTTTTACACTAAAAAACATCCCCCAAAAATCGGGGGTTGTCTTATACGCCGGGTATAGAACGTACCTGTGCTGATACTGTATGTCCGTGGTCCCCAATGCGGTGCTCGGGGCTGGCCCCGGGCACATGGCACACGGTGAGCGCCGGCCCCGGGTGCGCGGCGCTTGGCGGGGGGAGCGCCAGCCCCGGGCATGCAGCTATGGGGGGGGCCGCCCCCGGGCATGCGGCTATGGGGGGGGGCTGCCCCCGGGGGGCCACTCTATAACAATATGGCTTTTCTGTAACCCTGTTGGAAGCCCTGTAACTATTCAGTAGATCTAAAGCAGTGGTCTCCAACCTTCTGTAAGTGGGTGGGTAGAAAAGACCCCATCATGGCTCCAACAAGAAGAAGGAAATTTGAAGCCAGTTTTAAGCTGAAAGTTGTAAAGTTTGCCAAGGAACATAATAACTGTGCTGCTGCAAGGCAATATGGAGTAACAGAAAAGATGGTCCGAGACTGGAAAGCAAATGAAGATGCATTAAAGAGTATGCCAAGTAGTAAGTGTGCATTAAGAAGAAGCACCCCACATTGGTCAGAACTTGAAAAGCACGTAGCAGACATGGTGCATGAGCATCGTCAAAATGGTTATGTAGTGACACGAAACAAAATACGTATGTTTGCACTTCAGTGGGGCAAATCTAACCCAGATCACAGCAAAGGATTTAAGGCCACTGTATCCTGGTGTACTAGGTTCATGGAAAGGCATAATCTGGTACTGAGGCAAAAGACCAAAATTGCACAAAAATTACCTGCAGATCTCAACGGAAAAGTAAGTCTTTTCCATCGATATGTAATACAACAGCGCAAGAAACATGGCTATGCGTTAAGTCAGATCGGAAATATGGATGAAACTCCTATGAATTTTGATATGGTTGGAAATAAAACTGTTAATCCAAAAGGTGCAAAAACAGTGTTAATTAAAACAACAGGACATGAGAAGTCCAGTTTTACAGTGGTACTAGCATGTACAGCTGATGGCGCCAAACTAAGACCAATGATTATTTTTAAAAGAAAAACAATGCCGAAAATCAAGTTCCCTGTTGGAGTTTTTGTGCATGTGAATGAAAAAGGCTGGATGGATGAAGGGGTAAAGCTATGACTTGATAATGTATGGAGTAGGCGACCAGGTGGACTTCGTCAAGAACGTAGCCTACTGGTGTGGGATATGTTCAGGGCTCATTTAACTACCAGCACAAAGAAAAGGCTGGCAAGAATAAACACAGATGCGGCAGTTATTCCTGCAGGATTGACATCATTGGTACAGCCACTGGATGTGTGCCTAAACAAGTCATTTAAAGATCGCATTCGAGAACAGTGGAATGAGTGGATGGTTAGCGGCGAAAAGTCATTCACAAAAGGAGGAAACATGCGTGTGCCACAATTGGATGTTTTGTGTAACTGTCATAAAAGCCTAGAATGATATTGATGCAGAAACAGTAATCAAGTCTTTCAAGAAGTGTGGCATATCAAATTCTTTGGATGGTATGGAGGACGACTTCTTGTGGCAAGATGAAGGGGAAGCCAAAGCTGAAGCCACACCATCCGATTCGGAATTAGATCCATATGATGACTGTCTTACAAATGTACCACAAGATGTCATTGATGAACTTATGATGTCAGAGGATGAACATGATGAGGATTTTGAAGGATTTTAAGTACCTGCAAGTCAAAACCATTTTAATTAAAATGATTTAAATAAAATCTGAAGTTATTAAATGGTGTTGCCTCAGAAGGGGGGGGTAGTCTTATACGGCGAGTATAGGCCAAAACCTATGTTTTAACTGGAAAATTAGGGGGTCGTCTTATACGCCCAGTCGTCTTATACGCCGGAAAATACGGTATCAGTCAGATCACCGTACTCAGCAGGATAATTCTCAACCCTGCCCCTTCTGCTGGAGGCCCCACCCCCTTCTGAGTCGATCCATAGCCACTTCTGAAATTTGTGAAGTGGCCCCCCCCTTCCAAAAATATTTCCCACCCCTTCAAGGGTCCACAAACTACTGATTGAAAACCAATGGTGTGGGTGTGGGTGAGTGAGTTTCAGACAGATATTTTTCCCAGGGCGCTTTCCTAGTTTCTCAAAGCTGCAATTTTATCTATGTTTTTAATTGTTTAAAAAAAGTCCACATTCACCCACTTATGCATGCCACAGTGTAAGATGTATAGCAAGGTGCAGTCATGGATTTCCTTGGGAGTAATGGGAATAATTTATTGACCCAGACATAACCTGTTAATGTAGCTGGATTATCCCATGTGTCCGGTATATTCTTTGTAGTTTGCCACCTACCAGAAAAGTAACTCTGATACAACTTAGATTTTTTTCACAGCATTCCTTAGCGCCCTCCTGCTGACCTGACTAGCTGCTATGAATGACTCTCATTCACTGCCCAGATGCTTTCATTTTTAATAATGGTTCGTTTAGGGGCGAGGTAAAGTGGAATGTCTTCCATTCTAATGCATCAGTCTTCAGTAAGCAGAAGGCAAACTAGTCTAATCTACTAAACACAAATATAGGCTGTGCCTCTTTCAGAGGCTTTGATTTACATTATTGCAAGATGTAGGAGTTTGCAACATGTTAAAGTGAATTGAAAGCACCAGAAATAAAAGCAATACTGTTGAGAGTGAATGGATACTCTGACACACTTCCAGCCAGTGCGCATAATGGGAGCACCTCATCTGACTTTTCTGCTCTACTGAGGATAAAACAAAACAACTCCTCCCTCCCCCCCGCGTTTAAAATTCTAAAACTTTAGAGGCTAATGCCTGAGTGTCACAGTCTCTTAAATTTCTCATTGCACATTCCCTCTCAGAATTGTCGTCGATTCTCTCTGAAAGACAGTAAGGTCCCAATCTTGCAAGATTACCATGGTTTTTAATTCCAATTTTACAAACTGTAAGTAGCCCCATTGATTTGGCAGAAACAGGCCCTACCATCAGACTTTCTTATTGCAAACCCCTTGATTGGTATTGGATTGGTATTGGATCAGGATAGAAACATGGGGATTGCTGGGATTCGATCATTTTTAAAAAGAGCACCACGATACAGTTCTAAACTGTTCACTTTTTTTCTTGTCCTGTAAAACTTGACACGAAGGCCAATGAACAGTGTGAATGTGTGTGTATGTGAAAGAGAATAAACAATACAATTAGCAGAGTGTGGTTTTCATTGTTTGACATGGCCAGAGTAAATATTCCAGAAGCAATGGCTCTGCATCAGCCTTTGTCCAATCTGTGTTGAGGCTTCGGTGGCCACTTCATTATGCTGTATGAATGCCCATTACTCTGCACTAAATAAATGTTTCAGCCAGGCAGCACAAAGTATTATTTGTATGACTGTAGTGCCTTGGAGCCCTACTGATGGATCAGAACCTTATTGTGCAAATACAGAACAAAAGGAAGGCAGTGCGTGCCCCGAGGAGCTTACAGTTAAAGTATAAAAGCTGGACAACAGATGAATATAGACAAGTACAAGCGCACAAAGAGACCATATTGGTCAGCTGGTAGACAATGGTCTCTTAACCCATACACGTTCTGGGCATGGTGCCCTATTCCCTCTAGTGGCCCTGGGACCACTTACAGAATAGTGAGTCTGCTACTGTGTTAGCTAAGAACCACTTGGCTTCTAGCTCATGAAGTAGAGAGGCTCGTGCATTTAGCTCCACAGGTGTCAGGTTTGATCCCAACAAGAGACAGCCAGTGTCTGTTAGCATTACACGTGCCCACCACCAGACTAAAGAGCTGTGTCTACATTGGCATCCCTTTCCGGAAAAGGGATGCTAATGAGACACTTTGGAATAGCAAAATCCGCGGGGGATTTAAATATCCCCCGCGGTATTTGCATTAACATGGCTGCCGCTTTTTTCCGGCTTGGGGATAAGCCGGAGAAAAGCGGCAGTCTAGACGTGATTCTCCGGAAAATAAACCCTTTTCCGGAGGATCTTTTATTCCTACTTGAAAGTAAATATTGAAAGTAAATATTGAAAGTAAATACTTGAAAGTAAATACTTGAAAGTAGGAATAAAAGATCCTCCGGAAAAGGGTTTATTTTCCGGAGAATCACGTCTAGACTGCCGCTTTTCTCCGGCTTATCCCCAAGCCGGAAAAAAGCGGCAGCCATGTTAATGCAAATACCGCGGGGGATATTTAAATCCCCCGCGGATTTTGCTATTCCAAAGTGTCTCATTAGCATCCCTTTTCCGGAAAGGGATGCCAATGTAGACACAGCCAAGGTGTGTGTCTTCGTGTACAGCGGGCCAGCTGTGCTTTACTATACCTGTTCCTACTTGGATGGGAAAGCTTCTCCAATCAGCATAATGTTGTCTACATAGCAGGTTAGTTGGGTATGACTGTGTCACACAGAGGTGTGGTATTTTAGATGCTGAATCAGGGCCTTTCTACCCTTCTGACTAATCAACCTTCTGTTGATCCAAAAAAAAAAAAAAGCTAGGATGGGGCGCACACCAAACCACTTCTGAATCAATTGCTGTGTGAGAATCTCGATGCGCTTTTGCTAATATTTGATTTTTTGCTTGTTGTTTGTTTAATTTGCAAATTCTTACTGGAAATGTCAGAGAGGGAGCTGTTGGTTCCTGAGTATTTTTGATCATCTATCCTATGTTACTTTTTTCCCAGGACACAGTAACCAGGAGTGACCATACTTACAATTGTAGTGCCTAACTACACAAATGCCTCTCCAGCCCCTATTGCTTTTTGGTGTCGTTGGACATGGATAAGATTGGTTTACGTGGTATCCACAGCAGTGTAGGTGATGTGAAGGTGCTGAGGAATGCTGCCAGTTTTTCACTTTCACTTTTTATTTCTGTGCTCTTAAGGATTTGGCTGAATGGGGTGAGTCCTGATGCAACCTTAACTGCTGCTAAACAAAGCTTTTATTTGTGTTAATAAAACATTTTTGCATGGGGCTGTTTTAATTCTTACGAGGGTGTCAGTAAGCGCCAGTCCTGAGAACTTGGGTGTGTTTGCTTCACAGGCAGAGCTGAACAGTTTCATTCTCCATTAAATTCTGCAATCATTCACCCCAAGCCATCTGCTGCCATGCATTGCTGTGAGGATTAGGCAGGGTGGCCTATTATAACTGAGCACAGCCAACACCAATCAGTGCACCATTGCTAAAATTAATCACCGTGCTAATCGAAGCAGAATTAAAAGTGGCATGATGGTCAGATTCTGACATGCTGCAGAAGGGTCGAGTACTACAGCAGCTTAATGCATTAGCCTTTCCCCTCAGCGGAGGTGGACTCACCTGCTACTGAGGTCACACGTGGAATGAAGTAGGCGAATCTTAACTGAGCACCATGTGCCTTTCTGTACACTAGAGGAAAATACTGTGCACTGTCAACAGACTGATCTTCTCTGAGCCAGACCTGCAGTAATGAGGGTTGAACTGCACTGGATGAGGTGGGTAGGGAATCTTGCATTGTACCTGCCTACACTCTTCTTGGCATTTTGGATAGGGAAGCTCATCAGACTGCCTCTTTCAATTATCTTGGTTTTTCAGAGGAAGAAGAAAAAAAAAGATCTACATTCTTGGGAAGGGGACTGTAACTTTTAATGTTAACCCCAGGGGCTGATTACAGGCAGTCCCCGACTTACGCGGATCCGACTTATGTCGGATCCGCATTTACGAACGGGGCTTTCTCGCCCCGGAGGTCAAGGTGGCGGATTGCTACCTGCGAGCTCCGGGGCGAGAGAGCCCCGTTGGTAAGCTGCTCCGGTGCCCCTGGTCTGCTGGAGACCGTCTCCAGCAGA